ACTGAAATCAGGTCCTGTGAGAAAACTGCAGCTTTCCAGCCTGCTGGAGTTTCTTGCTGTATGCTGAACCCAGAGCTCCTCCTGGAGGTCTGCAAAGTCCCAGCCCTGGCGCTGATGGACTCACCACTGCTGCTGGGCAGCAAAGCAGCCACACCAGGCGCTCCAACACCCCATAGACACACAGGGTACAGACAATAGGTGGCTATGGGGTAATACAACAACCCTACACATGCCTATGCACCTGCAGTCCCAGCTGAGCTTAGTTTGTTCAGCAGCTGCACCAAAGTACCTTTAGAAAGCTGAGTACAGAAGTAAAGCTAAGATATAAAGCTGGATATATTTATAAATTAAATGTACCTTAACACTCCCTTTACTCCTAAAGTACAAGTTTAATTTTTTTGAGTAAAGGATGCTAAACTCAGGGTAGAGTTGGGGTATCCATGTAAATCCTGTTTGAACCCACAAAACACTCCTTGCCCCATAAGACTTACATGGTGAAAGCTGATGTCACAGCAATGGGAATGGGAGGCACTGACACCACTTCCATGGGAGCAGACCACCAGCTCAGACAACAGGTATTTAATCCAATACCACCTATTTGATTAAATTTAGCTCAAACCACACATCCTCAACTTGCCTTTCAATCCTAGGAGAGCTGGATGCCTGCCCTTTGAGAAAGCCAGCTGAGGGGTACCTACACTGCCCTGCTGCCCTAAACACAGCCTGGGCAGCAGCGGCTGCTGGGACAGCACAGGCTGGAAGGGGCTGCCTAAGTGTCAAGCCCAAACTCCCCAAGATGGTATTTGCCCAAAGTTTATCTTGGTAAAGAGGAATTTGACAGTCAGCTGTAGTAAACAGCAACCAGGGAATTATCAGAAGACTTCTAGCTGCAGGGGGAAAAGTCAGCCAGCATACACACAAGCGAAACAGGAAAACACAAGTGTAGTGTGCAGGAGAGGAGGGAGCAGGGCAGCACAGGGGCTCTGTGACCCTGCCAGACACAATCTTAGGTATACAAGGTTGTTCAGAAATTTCTAGGCACATATTAGCATTTCATAACTACATTATCTAATTTGATCTGTAGATATTGATCCCAAGAATGTAGTGGTGACCAAGTAATCACATGCTGATAACAAAATGAACCATTTAAACTATGATCAAGATCACATAAAGCAGCTATACTTTTCCTACACAATATACACCTGACTCAACAGTGCTATGAAGGTCCCCCTCTGCAATGGGGACAGATGTGAGAAAATATGACAGCTACCTGAAATTATACTACTTGTAATTCTTAAGATGTGCTGCTAAATAATTTTTGAGACTAAATTTTTCTCCTTATGTTTCTAAAAAAAATGACATAATTAAAACAATATAAGCTCTACATCATGAAAGACAGTGAGATTTTCCAAATATTCCCCCTGCACACTCATCCTGTTCTTCCACCACCCACAACTGTGGACACGGACAGCAGTGCTCATACCATAGCACTTCTTTGGCATTTTGTGACAAAGCCCTAGGACTCACAAAGAGGAAAAGAGAAGCTGCCCAAGCAATTGAAACTTTTCCACACCAGATAATGAATGGTGGTCCTAAATCACTGCTCCAGCATTTCATACACACATGAATATGTGTGTGTATATTAAAGGTGAGACACTACACACACACACACACTTTAAAGAGATTCTAATAAGGTGAATGCCTTTTGTATTTGTCTTCATCCTTGCCTATCATATTTTTTTCTTTTTCATTTTTAAAAGACCTGATCATTCTTCCTTTCAAGTAAGGCCTGGAAAGTGAAAATCACTTATTTCTGAAACAATGATGAGATCTTCAGGTCAGAGGGGAGGAGAGGGAGGTATATATTTGGATATATTAAATTAAAATAATTTCTTGCAACACCATGGTTAAATGTGAAGGAATGCAGCCCAAACACCACAGCTTACACTGGGGTGGGGTTTTTAGTTGGATGTTTTTTAAACCAAATCAACTTCAAAGAATTCTTGAACTGTAACTGCCTGCTGAAAGATTAATACATCAAAAAAATGTTTCAGAATATTCTCATATCCTTTAAAATAGCACTATATCCTAATGACAATATAAGGAGGGTACTTGCAATTTTGCATGATAGGAAAAGAAATTTAATAAAATCATGTAACACAAACATGACACCAAAATATTTATTTACAGTGTGTATATATATACATACATGAATTATATTTACTTTTTCTCCTTTTTTAAAGTTATCCAGGTTAAAAATGTCTAAGCTTGTTAGGAGAAAAGAAACAATCTCAGAACAAATAAGCAACAAGAAAGGAAGTCAGTTATAGTACACCATCTGCTGCACAGTCCTCCTGTAAAATATGTTCCAGTTAATAGGGTACATTTACAATAACACATTGACACTATTCACTCTCAACTGCTTACATACTAAACAAATACCATCTTGGCATGAAGAGAGGCATATGTTCAAATAAGAAAGAGCCATTTGTCCCACTGTTGTCTGAATTCACACAGGAAAGAGCCACTCCCTCAGCTGAATTAAATCCCTACAACCCTTTTCCCTTGAAGAAAACTGGTGTAAAAAAATATATGGCAACAAACACTCCAGTTACAGAGATCCAGGGTGCATTTTCCTTTCTGTACATCACTACAGTGTTTGTGAGCATAATTTCACCAACCTCACAGCCTGGCCTGTGAACTGGTACATGAGTCTGTCTTTCAGGACTATACACAAGCTTTCAGAGCAGCTCATCTGAATATTCAGTCTCATTTCTTCACGTTTCAAAAGCTTTGTTTTTAAAGTGCTTGGTCTGAACATTAATAAGCTGAACACACCTGAAGCTTCTTCAGGATCAGCAATGGGCCAAAACATTGCTGGTGGTCAGCAGTCAAATGCTGGTTTGCAAAGGAGAAGATCTCTACAGGATGATTTTGTCTCCACTGAGGGGTGCTCACATGGAAAGTTCTTATTCAAAAACAGCAGGCCTACATTTTCCAAAGCAGACTGAAAGTCACTTTAGTTCCAAAATGGAAGCTTAGAGACCCATTAGACTGTAGAGCACTTTGAATATGCCAAGTGCTACCTACATAAGAGCTAAGCATTGTTAAACTACTAATTCAAACAAGAACAGAGGCTGGGAGCCAGCTTTTCCAAACTAACTATGGGACTGTGTTGGCTTGGCCTCATATTTAGAAATGCCAGAAGTGTCCACATGCACACTGCCAGCCTTGCACAGTCACATCCCCAGCGTGTGCTAAAATGTTCTGTACACAATTCAGAGACCTGCATAAACTGCACACCTTGAACACAGGATTCAAGCCAGAAGAGTTGGCAAATAGATTTCTAATAACTTTGAATATTTGCTATTTTACTAAATATTCCTGCTTTCAGGTAGCATCTCATGCTGAATTTCAGCAAGCATTAAAACCAAGTAGCACTTTGTTAGTATTTGGTTTCCTACTCCTTGAGAGTTCAAAATTTATTTTTAAATTTAAGGCAGCAGTGTCTTTCTTTTTTTTTTTTCATTTTATTTTGTATTTAAAACAAAAATTAAGTAATTCCAGATTTCCTCTACTCTCAACGAAATGGGACAATTTTCTTGGTACTTCCAAATTTTAGGACAGAATAAACACAACCTGTTTTATCCAGTAAGAAAATTATCTGAAGTGGCAAGGCTTGATTCAGCTCTCATACAGATACAATCCAAAAGCAATTCCTCCACAGAGAATGAAAGTCCTGAAAAATTCAATCTCTCCACAGGGTTTATACATCTTGGGCTTCATCCATGGGGCTCAACTTGAAAGGCTCTGAGCAGATCATGTCTAGAAACATTTGCTTATACTTAACCTAAAATCCACTAAGCTGAAGGTTAATGAAGCGTGCAGGAGAAGGAGTCAGTCTTCTGTTGCTAAAGATCTACAGAAACCAAGTCCACCACTATTCCCCAGGTGGTTCAGTCATCACTAAATTTAAATTAATTTGAAAGCAAGAAACCTAGATGAAGGACTCTGCTTCCTGCACCCCTAGGAACTCCACACTGTTCTATGATTTCCTTGCGATTGACAGCAGGCTACTAGCACACAGTTTAAGACTTATTTAATACTTTGTTAATACAAAGCAGCCTATTTAATTTTTGGGCTGTATTTGAACAGCCATCTCTCCATATATGTAGTAGTTTAGCACTTAAGAGTGGCATTTTTTCCTTAGGCTAAAACACTGTCAGCTGGACAGTAACACACCAACTTTACAAGTAAGCCAGAATCAGCTTTTAACCAGGGTTTAAAAAGGCCCTGCAAATACAACACACTGATAATATTTCCATTCACAAACTGAGTAAGAGAAAAGAACCAGATGCTCAGAAATTAAAGCTATTTTGAAATTGTGTAACTAAAAATGTGTTGTTAATTTTCCTTTCCTCGATCACTGTAATTCTGTAACCTAGTCAGAAATAGTCCAAAATAAATTCAAGTTGACCTATAGAAGTGCATGGGACATTTAGGCCAGTTAAAACAAAATAAATAACACATTCCACTTCAATAAGCCTACAGAAGAGCTTCCTCTTAGTATCTAGGACACCCTAAGTTGCTCCAGGCAGACTGTTTGAATCTTCATGTCCAAATGAATAGTTATTAGTTCTTGGGCTCAAAGAACTTGCAAGTGAGGACACGTACTAAGCTGTTTTGCTAATATTTAAATAGTCTGAACCAAAAAACCCTCTAGTTATAGAGCCCTGATGATTTACTTAACTTTCTCATTTCAAAAATGAATCCAGCTTTGAGCATAAGTGAGGCACATGGGTTTTACAAACCAAGAGATATGGTAAGATAGTGCCTATTAAAAACTGATACTAATAATAAAACAAATCTCTTGACGAGGCTGAAAAAAAATTATGCCTGAAGGTTTAGGCAACTATTTAATTCTGGTTTTTAAGCTAATTTTGTAATTTAGCAGTAACATGAGTCTCGGCAAGATGTGCCATAAAAAACCCCAGCCTGTATGAAATGCAACCACCATCAGTATGGTTGTAGAACAGCAGTACAGCTCCTTACATTCTGCACTGTAATGTTTGGTGTTATAGAAAGACCATGCTCTTATGAAGCCCAGGCAGCCAGTTTCTTCATTTCATCTTCATCCTCTGCTCTTTTCCTGGTTGATGCTGCAGATAAAGAGACAATAACCATAAACTAATGTAACAATCAGAACCATTCTATCTGTTAGCATGAGGACCTGCATAGTGCTTTTCTGTTTGAAGATCTCAGACCAATTTACTGAGTAGCAAGCTGAACATAAGTAATGCAGGAATGAAGCTCATAAGAGATGTGACTATTTTGCCCCATCATTATTTGGTATAGAGCCCTAAAGTTCACAATATAGGTCTGATGTCACTCCTACTGAAAGACACAGAAAAAGTATTTAATTTCTAAAGGCTATCACAGCCAGAAAATGTCCCCAGGAATGTTGTTAGTTCTCTCACCACCATGTAAACAAGAAAAGTGACCTATCCTGGCCAGCTGCACACTCTGCTACATTTCCAAATAGTGCTGAGAGGTTCTGCACGTGCAAGTCTCTGGATGAACTCACTCCATTTTAATGGGTGGGGTCATTTATTAAATGGAGAAAGACATTCCTGAACTTGCTTTGCTCAGGTGACATCAGTTAACTGCTGTGGTCACTACAACAACAATTCCCAGCTCTGTATCAGGTCCTACACACACTTTGTACCCAAATCTCCTACCCCACATCATCTGCATTCACTACACTAAAACCTCACCCAAACTGTCTTCATTTGCTGACCTGCAAACCTCAAGAGCCAAGGTTCAGCCTCAGGCTGCCTCCTCCATTTGTGGGCTGTGCACATCAGGACTGGCATCTCTCCACCCACCAGTGAACACTGTTGGTGGGTCCAACACCTTCCTGTGCACCTTAGAGCAGCCAGCTGGCTCCCACCTGAGGCAGCCATGGGGCCAGGAGCCGCTGTCTCGAGGGGAACTGCAACTACCACCTTCAGGGACTGGGGTGGGAGAAGCACTTGGGGGACCACAGCTTCAGTCCCTCTTCTGCAAGAGTCACAGGTTCACTGTGTGACTGGGGAAGGTCACTATGCCTTGCTTCATTGCAGTTTCCTCATCTTCAAAATCAACATGCATGTCCAATTAGAAGCGTTATAAATCCATCAACTGGTCTGACTTTGCTGTTGCTGTGTAACAGTAAGCATGAAACATAGGCCAGTTTTTCACAGCCTTGAACTATATAATTGTAACCAGCTCATCCTGCCTAAAGCAGCCATACAGATGGATGTAGAAAATTAAAATAGTGAGAAGCACATGGAGATGGTCTGGGTTTAATAAAAATGTCAACTGGCACAGCTGGATCTGGATCCAGAAGACAATGTATGAACAAATCATAAATGGCCAGACTGAATTTTCACTGTTTTTCTAAATCCCTTTTTTTTTTACTAGCTGTTCTGCAGCTGAATTCAATAGATGAGGCCACAGTCTCAGCTCGAACATTTTAAACTGCTTCTCAGGATCTAAGTGTCATCTGCCAAAACACATATCATAGTATCTGAGTTGAGCTGGTCTGGGTAACCTATTCTGTAGCAGAAACCATAAGCCACCTGTGTCACATGTGTGCTGTCCTTACCAACAAGTATTTATATTCTTTTACTAATGTCAGTACACAGCAAGTCTTTCAACTGACAGTGAAAAGTGTAGTAAAAGTTGACTGCCTCTGGCTGAATTCAAAATGAACACAGACGAACTACAGAAAAATAAAACTACAGCTTAATACCAGGAATAAGCCTGTTCAGTACAAAGAAAGCAAAGGAATGAACATATGCCTTTAAAAATGTACTTCCTGATGCCTCCTTCATTTCTAATTAAAATTCCAGTGGAAAATATCAAACCACTACCCTGCAAAGCTGGATCTTTATGACATAAACATTTGGAATCTAGGTCAGACTCTAAGTGAAAGAGACTAAGGATTTAATTGCCAAAAAGAAGCAAAAAAAGGCACATTCCTCAATGATCTTACTACACTTCAGCAGGAGACACATCAGTATATTTGCAAGGTCAAGTTCCCCAAGTTTGTCACCCCAAATCTACAGAGAACTTGGTCCTAAATGCTTTCACAGAGCAAAATGGAATCCCATTCTGCTTTTTCTGTTAAGCAGATACAAAAATAGGAAAAGGAATTTATAACATTTGAAAAGTTATAACAGAGTTAAATACATATCTGAAACCCTCTCTTCCTCTCCCCTTTCTCCCAGCATGGCTTAATCATGAGAAATGTAAAATGGCAAGCAGGCACTTTACCAGGGTGAGAAGGCAGCGATGTGGACGGAACACTTGGCAACCTGACATCTCTCATTCCCTTGTTCAGTTCTTCTTGCTCCAGTTCTTCTAATTCTGCCATCAACTCATCCTAAATTCAAGGAAAACATTACTTACAAATTCTGACAGTGATTACACATAAGGGCACATTAAACCACCATGAAGCAAAGTACTACTGAAAAAACAGTTTACACCTGAAAGAACATATCAAGAAACAGTATATTAAATGTGCAGTTTTTACGAAGTATGGGCAATTAAGTAAACCTTAATTGAACACTGAAAACAGGACAATGAAAGTTAGAAACAGGACAAGGAATAAACTTAAATACAAAACTAACAGCAGTGGAGTACATGCCAAAAAGTCAAATACCGGAGTAAAAAGTCTCTCTGTTCTCCTCAGGTTTGTTCCAAATCTAGAGCCTGCACTCTTCAGTGGATTCTAACTTTAATGTGCCATTTCTTGTATTTTAAAAGGCAAACACCTTCCACTGGTTATAAGGCAGACTGTCATTAAACATTATGCCTCAGCCCTATCATGTAAGTCCAGGATTATATGTGATTTCAAAGCAGCACTGGAACCAAAACTGTCCTCCCGGGTCCTGTTATTCACTCTTGAAGCACGCAGCACTCGTGGGCTTTTAGGTGCAGAGACTGATTTGGACAGTGATCTAATCCACTTGTACAATGCTAAAAATAAAAAGCCTGTATGCTTTTTTAAAAAGCAAGGAACTTATTCCTCAGCTGAAGTTTCCCAAAGAAAGGAAGCTAAATGCTACATATATATGGAGAAACAGACCTTTGCCACGTTGATACAATGGTTTAAAAGAAGCAATGGGCAAAAACAACAGGAGAGGGGTGGAGTAAGTGCCAAAAAAAACAGTAAAGTAAGAGCTATTAGATACTGAAATGGGCTTTGCCTATACATTTATACTTGTTTATCACCAATGTAGAAGTTAAAATGATAGTTGCATAGCCACCACAGGACTTTACACCTGCATTTACTTTCTCGTGGTTTTATAATTTAAGGCAAACATACACTGTGCCAACCCAGAGAGAAGGAACTCTAATGATTCTGTGCCTGCCTGGAGCAGGAGAATTCACATGCTTCCATGGTCTCCTTACAGCCACGGCACATATGCGAAGAGAAAATGCATCCAAATGCAAGGAAAAAAACATCCTTAAAAAAATGAAATTAAATATTACCCTTCAACACTAACCAGCTTATATCCCAGCAATTAAGTCATTGATTCTAGCACTCTTAAGGTGCAGTAGCCTGCAAACCAGGTTTCCTTGTTACTGCCAAGTGCTCTAAGTATTACACTCCTACCAAAAGCTGGTACAAGGATGCTCCAAGTGACAGAGGCTTATTTCCCAAACAGGAACAATGGACATCAGCTTCAAATGGTATCCCTTAGGAACTTCCATGTCAATCTACAACATGCTTACTAAGCCTAGACTCCAAAAAGTTAAGCACTGTTGAAAAGTAAGACACTGTACAGCTGTTTGGGGTGGGAGGATGCTTTTCAAGTGTTTGAAGCTCAGGCTAAATCCCATTCCTTGTACCAGTAATGCCTAAATGTTTCTTGGAAAGTCTATTTACTTCAAAGGGGAAATACAGGAAAACAGGTAATGGGAACAAAATACAAAGAATCATTATAATTTTTAACAAATTAGAGCTGTTGAATGAAACTTCCTCTTCCTCCCAGTCAAGCAAATATGTGCAATATAGCATTTATTTTTTCCTTTGTTGTCCATTTGGGAACATAGGAACAAATTTGTTGGGAATACAGGGAATGGTTTGAGTATTCAGGACATTCTTCAAATGATTCTTAGTGCTTGGCCATTTTGAAACAAAATTGAAAAACAAAACAAAAGTGGTTGTGATACTGAGCTTGACACCCATCTCTGCAGATTACAAGAATTTTGAGTAACCTTGACCCTTGAGTCCTCAACTATGGCTGGATCAGAAATAAATTATATCCTGTTTAGATGTACAAAATCAAATCTGGGAGCACAGGATGAAAGCTACTGCAAAAAATTTTGAGAAGGTCCTAAATGCCTTGGGGGGGGTTTCAGGAGAAAAGATCTTCAGAATGAAGCCTTATTGCCTTCAACAGGTATTACTTCTACCTATCAGAGCTACTTCTGTGCTCTGGGCAACAGGTAAAAGAACCTGCATCTCAAAGCACTAAAAATGACCTTAAAAAAATGGTCCAAACATTCAGAATTATGACCAGCAGTCTGTCCATGACATAGGGACATGCACTCAAGTCAAATGGATGCCTATTTGGAGCAACAGAAAATTATATGTTTCAGTGTCCACTAGGAGTAGTACAAATTACATGTTTTAGTGACCTTCTTCTGGGGCTCAAATGAGAACAATAACTACAGGAATGCAGTTAAAAGGCTTTTCTTAAAATTTATACAAAAATAAATTTTTTTTTTCTATTTTTACATTTACAGATTTTTATTTAGTACATTATATGTCTTATATATAATTATTTTATTTAACTTTTATATTTATAAAAAATTATATATAATTTATTTTATATGTAATTATTTTATTTAACTTTTATATTTATAATAAAATTATACAATTGTCCTAGTTAGGTAAGCTAGAACCAAGGAATTCCACATCCATACTTCTTGAGAAACAAAGCACTGCACAGCAGAAAAACTATGGAGTTAAAACTCACAGGTCTGAAGTACTAACCTCATCAAACTCATCACCAAAGGTGGCTCGGTTTGAGATAGCATCTGAAATTTCCTGGGCAACATCTTGCTGTTCAGTGATATCTTGCATCAAATCATCGATTTTGTTCAAATCCCTGGCAAGGTAACATGGAAACATTTTTTAAAAGATGTATCATTCAAATCCTACAAAATACACTCACTTGAACAGACCCTGTTTTCTTTATATGCCCATGACTCTACAAACAGCAGAATTCACAAGGAATAATTTTCCTCAGCCACACCCAGTCCAGCTACTTCCATGTTGGGATTACAACAGAGGTAAAACTGCAGCAGAGTGTGTCTCTCCCTCTCTGTGCTCCTCACACCTCTGCCAGCCAGTCACAGCCCATGGGCAGATCCCCCAGGTCAGCATCTTTACAGGCCTTTTGGTACTTGAAGGGGCTTTATAAGAAAGATGGGGATAAACATTTACATGGCTTCTTGTGAAGGGCAGAGGGTAACAGCTTTAATCCAACAGAGGGGCAATTTAGATTTGATTGAAGGAAGAAGCTTTTTACAATGAGGGTGGCGAAGCACCAGCACAGGTTGCCCAGAAATGCTGGACACCTCATCACTAGAAACATCCAAGGTCAGGTTGGATGGACTCTGAGCAACCTGATCTAGCTGAAGATGTTCCTCTTCACTGCAGGGTGTTTGGACAGGAATATCTTTAAATGTCTCTTTGAAGCCATCTATTCTATGATTTTATGGATCTTTTTTGATGTTAAGTTTTCACCAGAACTAGGGAGAATTTAACAGAATTGTACCCCATTTAAAGGTTTCCCTTTATTGTTAACTTCGTTATTGTTTCAGTTCCTGTTTATTTCTCCCAGAACAACCCTTCTGATTTAACTGTTTATTCAGGCAGAAAAACACCCCTTGAAACAATATAGGACAAACAAAAAAAAAAGAAAAAAAAATAATTTTTTGGGGGGGCGTGGTGGGGAAAAGGGGTGCATTTAATTAGTACTTTGAGTCCCACAGTCCAGCTTATGGATTCTGAGGAAAAGTGTCCACATAGTTTCTATGACTAGATTTTCTTCTAGACAAACCAAGGGCAGAGGCCACTCTCCACTGCCAAGACAGACTGAAAAAAACAGATCTCACTCGTTAAGTGAACTTCCTTCTAGATTTACTGTTAGGAAAAGATATTTTTCTGCCAAATATAACACTGTAGCACTAACAGCATTCCTGACATTCAATGCCTGAACTAAAAATGAAGTCAAAATTATCTAACTTGATACAACAGTCTGTAGCAATGGAATAATTTGAAAGTGGTTAGTAAGTTCAACTTGGAAGCTACTAGAAAACACTTACATATTTTCATGTACTTTTTTCATAGCTTGAGCAGCATAACCCATATTCTTGAGCACTTCTGTGTTGGTGTGGGAATTTTCCAATGCCTCTCTCTGGAACTCAATGGTCGAAAGTGTCCCATCAATTTGATTCAACTGTTTCTCATACCTCTTTTTTCTCTTCAGTGCTTGTAAGGCAGCTGGAATGGGAAGAGGCAAAGTGCATTGTGTGTTTTCATAGCAAATACAAGGACAAGTAGTTCAGCACCAAGCTGACACCTGCAGAATTTATAATTCTCACCCTCCTACCTTACTATGAGGCAGACAAACTTTGACCACACCAGGTGGGCAGCCTGTTAATCACCAACAGGCTGTTGCATGAATATGCTGGAAAGCCTCTTTTAGATTAACTCCTTTTAGCACCACAAGGAAAAGCAGCTTCTTCCTCCACTGTGGGAGATCTTGAACTCCATCCTGTGCACACAGGCAAAGCAGGGAAGATGGGAAGGAAAAAGAAAAACATCAGAGAGAAGTCAGAAGGGAGGAAGCAGAAGAGAGAATAAAAGAATAAGCTGCAAAATGTAAGTAAAACCTAAGGAAGACAGTGTAAGAAGATCTGCCATGAAAACCACAACTCCAACGGTGCTTTGTAAACTTTGTCTCTGCAGCAGTAACTGTGAAGTGCAACAGAGGGTCCAAATGGCCCAGCTAGGCAGAAGGGTTAGATCAGAGGAGGATTTGCATTTCTCCAGCTTTTAGCTCATCTATATCTTAACAGTCACTTAGGAACGTGATCTTTAAACCTTAGAATTTAAAAACACTAAGAACTTTGTAGACATGGGCACAGTCAAATCCAGCTACAGCCCATTATCTTTGTATATTGTTGAGATTAGTCTTTTATATTCACCAAGTTATGAGCTGTGTACTCTGCCCAGAGTCAATCATTACCAGAATAAATGCACGTGACAAGAGTGAGGAGAAAAGAACTTTCTCTTGGCCTCAGGGTGTGGAACACACACAGTTTTGCCACAAGCATTTCCTGATGACAGTCCTTTCCAAACTACCCATGTGCCAGGCTAAAAATCCCACCAACCAAAACAAGAGACTGAGTTAACCCGTTGTTTGGCTTTCAATGCTATTAGCACACCCATTCTTTCCCTTGTCTCCTACATTTAATTTTTTTAACAGATTCAGAGCCTGCCTGCCCCAGCAGCACTGCAACCCCCCAAACTCAACCAACAGCAGCAGCTACTGTTCCAATCCTGTATTTTATGCCCATGTGTAATAACACTGACCCTTGTCACTGGGGTACACAACTTTTCAAATGAAATTAGGATTCCCCCAAGGAGGGCACAAATATTTATGAATAGTAACAGCACACTAAAGAAGTTAATGCTTTATTGACAAATGCTTGAATCAACATGATCAATATTGCTCATCACGAGCTGCTCAAGGACAGGCATTCACACAGGCTAAGATGCCTTCCACCACCTGCAGTGAGATGTTTCAGGACAGCAAAGCACAATCCCAACAGATTAATCACAGCACTTAAATCCAAGATTTTCCCAGGTTTTGGGGGATGGTTCAAAGATCATGCATATTCTGAAGAAGTTGCACAAATACCAAATTATGTAATGCACATGGCAAATGTAACAATTGTAAAATTCTCACTGGCAATTCTAAAATACTTAATTTTTATTTAATCCCAAACAATGCTTACCTACTTATAATTTCCTTACTTAATTATGCTTAGTGTTGGGAGAGTTAAGACACCAGCCACTTCCTTAGCTTCCATTGGATCAACTGTAACCCTGGATTCTTAGGTTAGGAAGACAGAGGCTCCAGACAAATGTAACAGTCTGAAAGTCTGCATAACACCAGCTGGGCCAGAGAGGACTCTGAGGACCTGTGGACACTGAGGAGCACTCAGGTGGAGCAGGCATCTACCATGGGGCAGTCTTTCTAGTCAGTGCTCCTCAGAAATGGGACTCTGCAATGGTGCTGTTATTATTGGCTGCTCACAGAGAAAATGGATTTCCTCAGTCACACACAAAGCAGTTTTCAAAATCCTGAAGATCATCTAATTAAACCACACCCAAATCAAGAAAACACAGGAGAAGCTACACTCTCTGCTATTTCAGCTATTCATAAGCAGCTTTTCCTAATTATTGTGGTGCAAGATATTATCTTCATTCTCTTTGGTTTTACCAGTGACTTACAGAATAAAGCAGTCCATAGGAAATAAATTCATTCTCCTTCCTTATCAACCAAAGCAGTGTAAATTCTCATACCACACTATATGATTTTCATGATGTGTGTTAAATGAGTGCCCTTTATTGCAGAGTATTTTGCTACAGCAGCTCCTATCACTAATTTATGAGAATTTCCTTGTTATTTGAAATCTATTTTCCTATGTTTTACAAAGTACCTAGAATTTTTAGTGCTTTTCTACTGCATATTAGAAGCATTTTAAAACTTGTGTGCAAGTTTTACAGAATTGAAATGCTTCTGTTTTATAATGCTACCACATTCCAATTACAAAACTGGAGAATAATGTATCTATTAAAATATAATGAAATTGAGTAAAGAACACAAACTCACTTCACTGAAGGTCTAAGAATGGCACTGAAAAATGGTGTTCCCCATTCCAAAGATCTCAAAGAAGGAAGACAGCCTGGAGAGGATGAGTTTGAGCAGAGGTAGAGTCTGAGGAAGCAAGTGTAATTAACACCAATTCATTCAGGAAGAGGTGGAGGGCTTCTCCAGGAAAAAAAAACCACAAAAGCAGACTCATACACTTTTTGTGTTCCAAAAAAGCCAATTCAATTCCTGAATTTTTTAATGTCAGCACCTGGCTGGGCTTTAGCACATTTCCTGAACTGAATCCAGTAAGCAGGATACAGCTCACAGATTAGGAACCACTGGTTTTAATACGAGTTTTTATTTTATAGTCAAGGTGTCTGGAACAAAAGGAGACTATGATATCAGTTTAAGTTTGCATATTAATGAACTCCTTTTATTAACATACAGAAGGGTGCTTTTCCAATAACGCTACAATGCTAACACTTTATTAAGGAAGCAGAAATGACAAGCCGGGCAATAAGTATCCTGGCTACAATGAATACCCAAATTTCAAAAGGAAAAACAGAAATAATGGTATAGGAGGAGTTGTGCACCCTCCTCATGGTTTCATGCCAGATCAGACTGAAAAGCAACAGTGCAGTAATACCACCTTTACCTGTCAAGCACACCACCAACACCCATCCGTACAGAAAGCACCAACAATCTTCTGAAGCAGAAATAAAACAATTGTCTAATAATCCTTATAATTCCCATGAGAAAACTACTGAAGTAGGAAAAGAATAATTCTTCTGAAGATGTAACACCACTGTGAAAATACCAGGTATCACTCTTGGATACAGTACACACATCTCCACCTCAGGGCTGCAAGGGATTCATGGACTGCAGCTTCTGATCTCCCTCACTCCAGGGACAACCAAAGGCAATGCTGCTGAGGCCATAAAAATCATAGGACCCTAATTAGGCTCATTATCAGCACTCATAGTCCTTAAAGCCTTGTGGAGGAAGCCACAAGCAGTTACAACTGAGGAGCTAAATCAAGAATAATACAGAGCTGGACCAGTTATAAGTATTCCAGTTCATGGCAAGACACTTGAAATGTGATCATGAAGGTCAGAGAACAATCTCTGTAACTCGCAGAGCAGACACACCAAGGGCTTTCCCTTAGGTCCCTGCCAGAACCCTCCTTCCCAGCCTGTCCCACAGCCAGAACCCTCCTTCCCAGCCTGTCCCACAGCCTGCCGTAGGCGTGGCTGTCCTGTCCCCCACAGCACACACCTACCGCACCATTGTTTGGCTTCCACAGCCTCCTGGTCACACCCAGCTCATTCAAAAGGAATGCTACATGGCTGCATCAGCCCTGCCCAGTCCTAACACACAACATATTTAGCAGCATCTACTTGTGAAACCCTCCCTGTTATTCCCACTTTCTTCATAGGTTTTGTCTTCGGTAGTAACTATGTGGTTCTTTATGGATCAGATTTAATTCTATTCCGGATGGTTTATCTTAACTTGATTATTTTTTTAAGGTTTTTAAAATATTTTTAAGGTCTGTGAAACAACGCACATTCATGTGTATGTTATTTTCACAATTACAGGCATGCTCCAGAAAACACACTTCCTTTCAAACAAAGTTTTCAAATATTCAGTATCACTTCCTGTTCTTTAAATTTCCTTTTATGTCCTTTAAAATAATGGATAAGAAAAGCCAGTATATAGATGGAGTTGGCAGCTATGCATTGGCTGAAACTGAGAAACCCCCCAAAAAAGCAGAGCAAGAGATTTTAAAAGTTTGTTCCTGGAATGAAGAGACATTAGAATTCAGTGCTAACAGTGAAAAAAATATTGCTTCTCATGACATAACCTCTTCAGGAGGAATTTCAGCATACAAAAAACCCTGAAGTGGTCTAGCTAATCTCAGATATTAATGGGGAATGCTGGAAATACATCACATCAAAAGTATAGCTAATTTCAGATTAGGTACAGGAACTGCAGAGAGACTTCATAAAGGAAAAGCCAGGAGTATTTCAGTGATGTTTCACATTTATGGCATAGCTAATGCATTACAGCTTTTAAATCAAGTTAAGCCTACTGATGTCACATGAAACCCATTCAAGAGTCATATGAAGTCATGAGAAATTGCTGGTGCTTGAATCTGCTCTCTCTTGTGTTGGTGCAACTGACTCAGACTCGTACACCTAAAAAATCAAGTGAGATCATGCCAATTTGCTAATTTTCTATCCCTAGATACCTCTTGCTCCAGTTGCAGACAGCCCTATTTTAGTTTCCATAGGCTTCTACACAGATGCAACAAAGGAAAAAAAACTACATTAAAATTACCAGTGATGTCCCTCCAAAACACTCAATTGGACAAGGCAATGTAGATTAAAACCTTTATTCTCTCACTTGTATGTATGTTTACATAATGTTACAACAGGTGGTGGTTAGCACAGATTTTCTCTGAGCTATACAGTACTACACACTAGCTAATGTCAATGTAAATCAATAGTAATTAAACTGTAAAGCAATTGGCATATCAGATGAAGATATATTATTGGGAATTTCAGTTCACTGACTATCCTGCTAAATTTAAGCACTTTGGCACAGCAAGGTTATATTTTAAACAATATATGGTTCATATTGTTTCTCCTCTGACTGTACTTAGGTTATCCCATTTTGGTTTTAGAACCATTTTTGGCATGAATAAAAACTGCCCCACTGCCCTTTCAGCCCTGCTCTTGCCTCTTTACTGTTCTTCACTGTAGGTCCCCAAGCAAATGACAAAATCAAAGGCAGTTATTTCCAACCACAATCAGCTCAACACTACAATGTGTAATATGACTCCATGAACAATTTAATAGATAAAAGACTAGGGCAATGGCATATTGAAACAACAATCTTCACATATCAAATGCTGCATGTCTGAAGCAAAAGGCCAACACACACCTGAAACCACCATCAACCAGATGAGCTAAAGATGAAGCAGATCCAACTTTTCCCAACAAATTCTCGTTCCTGTCTGTGCCCCACTCTCTCCTTCCTAGCACTCATGTAGCTACCAGGTCAACTGGATAAGTGGAACTTAAACTATCCTGGCTAAAAAGAATAACCCAGACAAAGAAAAACACAATATTTTACAATATCCAGCTTTCTGAAACACACCCTTCAGGGAGCTCTGCTAAGGGAAAGGAAAGGAGCAGCACAAGGGCAGGAGCGAGGCAGGAAATGCTGCTTCTTTCTGCAAATGTGCCAGCTTATATTTCAGGTTTGGGATGAAATTCCAGAGCAGCATGTCTGGATTTAACCAGGAATTGCTACAGTCACAGGAACCAACCTGTTTGCTTTTACCAGCCCTGCAGCTCAGGCTTTTGCACAATGAATTCAGCCCCAGAAGCCACCTAGTCACTTTGTCCCATAGCAGATTAGCTTCCAGCTGGATCACCTTCCTGAACTAGCTCACTGTGACAGTACAGAGGCGCCAATACCTGGACAAAGGACCAAGAGACACTCCAGCTGAAGCCAGGGGAGTATAAAGTGACAACTGGGACAATTGTAACAGCTCCTATCCTCTCGAGCAGCTGTCTGAGTTAAGCTCTCAACTGACTTTAGTCCCTCGACTGTGGCCCATCTTGACCCACAATTTTAAATCCATTTTAACTAAAAGTTAGTTTAGTTAAACTGCCTCTTGATAATAATTATTAAATGCTAAAGTATTACAAATACATTAGAGGGCTAACCAGGACACCTCTAATACACAGCTCCACATAAGTTCAAAATTACAGGGCATTATTTTTTAAAATACTGATTAACAGAACAAGCAGGCAAAAGACCTACTTTCTTGTTACATCACAAATCTTTACTTCAAAATATTCTTCTTCTATTATTAAGCATTTAAATTAAAATACAGCTCAGGCAAACAGGCCTCCATGCAATTTCAGGAAGTAATTAACTTGTTTCTCTGAGGCCTGTATATGCCCAAGACACTGACTACCATCATGTGCTTCCCAGGGGTGACAACATCAGTATACACAAGAGCCAGGCTTTCTGACCCCTTAGCGTCCTCTCCTTTGTAGCTAACAGTCCCAGAGCACTAGTCACTAATGCTCTAAGCTATCATTCTTTTTTTGGTTGCACATATACTTCTTACATTATTTGGACAAATCAGCAATGGGGATAATGTGCATTGATTTGTGAATATGCAGGAGATCCACACATCCTTCACCTCGTTCACCACCTGCCCAGCCAATGCTGAGCCCCCAGACAGCGATTCCCTCCCGGCTGAGCAGCAGTACTTTGCCCTCCGTGTATCCAACCAGCACCGTGCGGTACAGAGCACGAACAGGAGAATCGCACAGGAAACCACAGACAGTAAATTTGTGAGGAATAACAAATTCCCATCCCGCTATATGAATCCGCAGTTCATTAAACACTAATCGATGCCAAACCACCATCCCGCCTGGCGTGTGGTGATACTTGCTCGGAGCCCAGGGCCGAACCGCACTGCACACCTGCGGTGCCGGGTGACCCGGCCCAGCCGAGTGCTCCCGTACCGAGGGCGCTCCAGCCCCGGGAGGGATTTAACCGCGCGGGGCCCGGCCCGCACTCACCCCGCTTGTTCTTGGTGCCGTGCTGCCGGGCTAGCGCCAGCTCCCGCTCGATCCGCGTCTCCAGGTACTCCTGCTTCTTGCTGAGCATCTCCTCCGTCTCCCGCAGCCGGGCCAGCGCCTCCTGCGGCGAGGGACCCCCGCGGCCCTTGGAGCCGGCCGAGCCGCCCCCCTTGAAGAACTTGGAGATCTTGCTCATGGCGGCGATCCCAGCTCGGCACCCGCCGACGGAAAGGTCCGGCCAGGCCGGTGCTCAGGAGCCTCCCTGCGCAGCACACGCCGTGACAGCGCTTCCTCGGCCCAGGGGCGGCGGCGGTGGCACCGCACCTGGCGGCGGGGCGGGCCCGGGGGCGGCTCCGCGGAGCTGCCGCTGCCCTCAGCCAGCGCCGGGCAGGGCGGCGGGAGGAGCCGGCGAGCTCCGCGGGACAGCCGCAGGGTCCCGGGCCGGACCGGCGCTGCGGAGGCGGCTGAGAGTTTGTGCTTCCCCCCTACTTTTTTCCCGTGTCACAGAATGGCAGAATGCACAGTGGGTCATCTGGTCCAACCTCCCTGCTCACGCAGGGTGATCCTAGAGCACATGGCACAAGACTGCATCCAGGCGGCTCAGTATCTCCTGGGAGACTGCACATCTCTGGGCAGCCTGTTCGATTGCATGGCCATCCACACAATAAAACTGGTGGAAATTCCTGTGCATCAGTTTCTGCCTGTTGCCTCGTCCTATTGCACCAGGCAGAAGAACCTGCCCCAGCCTCTTGGCACCCTCCCGTAAGATGCTTATAGACATTGGTTATGTCCTCTCCCAGTCGCTTCTTCTCAAGGCTGAAGAGGTTCAACTCCCTCAGTCTTTCCTTCGAAGGGAGATAATCAAGTCCCTTGGAAAATGTTGTAGCTCTCTGCTGGATCCTCTCCAGGAATTCCATGTCTCCTACTGAGGAACCCAGAATTGGAGACGTGCCGCAGGAAGCTGTTTCGGGAGAGCATCACCCTCGGGCACAGGCGTGCACGCGGGTCAGGGCTGGGAACATGACACTGAAGTCTGAAGGAATGTATTTTTTTACAAAAGTGGTGGGTGCGCCGCTGAGGAAACCTCAGTGGCACCAACAGGTTGCAGAATGCACGAAGTGCTTCGGAAAGCCGGGCTGCCTCCGCTCTGCCTCCGGGAACAAGGCACTGCCCCAAGGGACGTCGCAAATAGCGACACAATAAGACACAAATCATGCCCTTTTCCCCCTGGAATAGCCCGAGGAGCACCAGCCGCGGCTCTGGGCCCACTGAAGGCTGAGGCTTGGGCCGACATGGGCTGCTCAGGTTGCCCTGAGCCCGGCGATGCCGCCGGTCCTGCCGGCATGCCCGCAGCTCCGAGCTCGCGGGGCGGGCTCAGGCTCAGGCCCAGCCCTGCGCGGGCGGGTCCCCACCGCCCCCGGCCCCGCCTCGGCCCCGCCCGGCCCGGGGCGGGTCCCGCCGGCCCCTCCGCAGCGCGGCCCCGCCCGCCCCGCCGCCGCTCCGCCTCCTGCGCGCCGCCGCCATGGCGGAGCTGGAGCTGGGGCAGCACTGCGGGGTGCCCGAGTGCCGCCAGCTCGGTAAGGGACGGCGCGGCGGTGCCGGCGGAGACGGGGATGGTGGGCCGGGGACCGTGCGGGGTTGCGAGAGGTGTCCCCCCCCCGATCGGGGAATGCTCTGTGCTGCTGCAGCCCTGCTCGGTGCAGTGCCAGCGTCTGTCACCTCGGTTGCCTCACCGGGTGGTTAACAGCCCGCTTGCCCCTTCCTCATACTTGATGCCTTCAGTGATCTCGGAGAGTGTGACTGGAAATGAAACCTCTCAGAAAGAAGCAGCAGAACGGCCTGTACAGAAAGCTTTCTGAGGGACCACTCTGAGATGAGGGGATCGGGATGATCGTGACCTGAGCTGCGTGGTCTGTCTGCATAAAATCCGAAGGATGGAGAAGCAGAGTAGTGGGCTGGACCTGGCATTTGCTGCCATTAATGATGTGGTGGAGTTCAGCAGACAGTGATGTGATTTTATGTGTAAGAATTTATGTGGTAAGCAGGGGATGTGTACAGAGGCTTAGGAAGTGTATGCAGTTTTAATCACACAAGGGCAGTATGTATGATGTGATGTGAAGAAGGGGCGGGATCATTATGACTGTCCAGTGGAGGAGATGCTTTCCCTTCCAAAGAGCCAGCATCTCCTCCGGGTGGCAGCCCATAAAAAAAAATGTAAATCATCCACTGTCAGTAAATAGTAACATAACTAGTAATTTTGATGGCTAGCCATATGTTCCAGTGTCACAGCTTGATATTGAAAAAAAGCTAAATTTAAAGCCTAATTCCAACTTCTGGAATGTATATAAATATAATTTACCTGCTCCTATGTTTTTCTGTAATATTAATTAGGGGAGTTAACAAAAGCAACTTCTAGCTAAAGTGTAGATGCAGTTGCTAAGTATTCTTATAAATACACCTACCCTGTGATGTTGGTAAGCAAAAGTTAATCATGTGAAAATTAAGCTAGAAAATATAAACAAAACAACAACCATGTTGTCTTAACTGAAAACAAATCTCTTTGTTTCAGATTTTCTTCCCTTTGTATGCGATGGTTGTTCAGGCATCTTTTGGTAAGTTCATAGAATCACAGACCACCTCAAGTTGAAAGGGTCCCACAAGAGTCAACAAATCCCACTCCCTACTCCTCACAGAACTAAAACTAAAGCATACTACTAAGTGTCATACAGACAATCATTGAACTCCAGCAGGCTTGGTGCCATGACCACTTCCTTGGGGAGCCCATTCCAATGCCCAACCACCCTAAGAACCTTTTCCTGATGTTCAACCTGAACTTCCCATGACACAGCTTCCTTCCATTTCCTCATGTTGTACCCTTGGTCACCAGGATTTCCTCATCCCAGGTGAAGAATCCTGTACTTGCTCTCATTAAATTTCATACAGTTGGTGAGTGCCCAGCTCTCTAGTCTATCAAGAATCTCTCTGTGTGACTTTTCCACCCTCAAGGGAATTGACAGCTTTTCCTGGTTTAGAAAGGTTGGCAACCATAGTATGTATCCAGATAATTTATAAAAATACTAAAGAGCACTGGCACTAAATTTGAGCCCTGGGGAACTCCACTGTCCACCAGATTGAAGCAACTGGCATGAACTGTGACTCTCTGAGCCCAAACCATCAGCCATTTGCTCACCCATAGTACTACAGACTTCTCTAGCTGTGTGCTGGACCTTTTTGTGCAGAAGAACACTCTGAGAGGCAGTGTCAAAAGCTTTGCTAAAATGCAAAACACCACATCTGCTGGCTTCCCAGTGTCATATAAATGGGTGACCTTGTCACAAAAGGAGATGGCTGATTATGTTTTCTTCTTGAAAAAATTTTGAGGTTTCTTGCAAGGTTGAAATCAGGGTCTGCACTTTGATTTACACTTCAGATTAGCAGAGGGCAGCTGAGAGAAACTCACTTCTCTCACACATTTGACTTCTAACATATCAGAAGCCTTCAAGGGATTTCTGCCATTATGGAAGAAATTTGAAAATCCATTAAAACAGAAAAGCTCTCGTTGCTTTGAACTGAACTCTTGAGCATGCTAATGTCTTCATTCTCTTGAAATGGTTTGTTTATCTTGAAGCATAAGTTCCAAAAGCTAAATATTTTACATTCTGAGAAAGAATATGATCTATCCATTCAAGAAGTGAAATGCATAGGATAGAACAAACTTTGGAGAAGAATCACTATCTAATTGAAGTTTTTCCGTGATAAAACTTGTCAGATGACTCTTAATATACTTAATACTTAAATGTTTTCACATGCAATTTTTTTTTCCTGGAACGTTGATAACAGTGTGATATTTTCTTCTTTTTCCACAAAGCCTTCAGCACAGGAGCCGCGATGCTCATGGGTGTTCTGAGGTAATCTAATAATATATGACAGCCTTAAATTAAAATTCCATGCAACTTAGCTGTGTGTTTTCAGACTAGATGAATGCATATGGTATTTAAATATGAATTATTTAACTCAGAATGTGAAAGGCTTAAAAAATGAATCTACTCTTTTTCTTCCCCTCAGAAGTAAATTGACTTTGAGTAGGATGATTGTTCTTTTTCAACCTCTGAGCTAAACATAACCAGGGCAAAAGTAGGAGAGAATAGCTGGACCAGGTTTGCCCATAAAATGGAGAGCTAGCACAGATCTTTGAGAAAGCTGGGTTGGTAACTTATATCTGTAGTATCTGTTTATTTACACAAAATATTTTGTACTTACTCCTAGGTGAATATAAGAACCAGTTCTGTGAAACCTGATCAGCACAGATCTTACCCATGCTCATACAAGGACTGCAATGGAAAGGAGCTTTTGCCAGTGTTATGTCCTTACTGTGAAAGACATTTTTGTCTCAAGTGAGCGGAACAGAATGTTTAAACATCAATATTCATTTAATAATGTATAGAAAACGCAACAGAAGTTTTACTTTGTTGTTTACAGACATCGTCATCAATCAGACCATGAATGTGAGAAGCTGGACACCCCAAAACCTCGAATGGCTGCCACCCAGCAGCTTGTTCAACATATTATAGGCAAGTACAGAGGCATATATATTCTTTTTCTTATATTTTTTTCAGGATACTATTTGAGTTTCTGACCTCCTTTGAGGGGTCAGGTTTGACCAAATAAGAAGAAAGGATGGGAGTTCCTTGGTTAAATAGCTCTAAGCTTACATGTCAACATTTAATACTGTTCATCTAAACTGAGCTGTTCATCTAATACTGTTCATCTAAACAACAGTACAAGGAACATCTAAAGAAGAAATAAGGCACAGGTTTCTTTCAGAATTATTGTCTTGTTGCCATTCTACAAGTACTATACTATAATGAATTGTACCTAGCCATTATTACTTATGTGTTAATCCATGTGCCATTAATGCAGTTGTGTTGGATGAGCATGTCAATCTGCTGGGATCACACCTACATAATCAAGATGCCCAGAAAAGTCTGATTCTACCATGTAATGTTTTGCAGGTTTTAAACAAGCTCTAGGATGGGCAAGAGAATAAACATCACTGCCCAGCTGGACAGTGGGGTTATGTGTAGAAAGGGGGACCTGAAATGTTGCCATATGAATGCTGTGGTAGCCACAGATGTAGAAGATCCAGAATTTGTATCTATTTGGCTTTTGCAGCCTGTGTTTACATGGTGATAGTGT